CCTGGCTCCAGAGAGGGCTTGATGACACGGCGTGGCGAGCAGGCTTCTGCGGGATGTTGCTTTCCCATGTTCAGGCTCACATCTGCAGCTCTCACCGGTGATTTCTTTTTTTTTTTTTTTTAACCCAGAGAACTGGGGTTGTCCTGGGACACTGGGCTTCGTTCAGAGAAAACTGTTCTCCAAAACCCCGTTACCACTGACACTGCTGGAGGCAGCAAATGGCTTCCTTTTAGCTTCAGCTTCCAGCCTGGTTTGCAGAGGAGGCATCCCCAGCCTGGCCAGCAGCGCACCTTTGATCTGGACGAGCCAGGAGCCCTAGAGTGAGATTTTTACGATGCCTCTCCGCAGAGAAATTTCCTTTTCATTTTTTCAGTCTTGGCAGGAGCAATCTTCAACCTGTCTCTTATGATTTTCTGCCTCATTCCTCCTGCTACTTGCCAAGGTCATGGCTCGAATATTTGTGTGGTGCTGAGAGGGAGGCGGCTGTGGTCCGCAAGCCGGAGCGCTGCATCCCGGTACTTGCCCAACAACAGTTCGGTATCTTTCTGCAGCACCACACAGTGCTTTGCTTTTCCCTTCTCGCGGGCAGACGCCTTCTCCAGAGGCATTGGCCTGGACCGGGGAGCTGCTGGGAGCAGCCGCCAGCAGTCAGTGCTACCTGGGCATCCCAGTGTCGTTTCTGTAACGAATGTGTCTGGCGGGGGTCACCGGGCAAACGCCTGCTCTTTGCAAGAAGGAAGTCTGCTGGATCACGTTGGCTTTTTCCTCATATTTCTCCGTATATTTTGGTGTGCCCAATGCTGCCGAAGGCTTGGGGCTCAGAGCAAGACCACCTCCATGTGCAGGTATGCGTGGGCAGGTGATCCGTACTGAGTCGTCACTTCTTTTCCTTTCAGCCACCGCCAGTCTTGGCCAAGACGCTTTGCTTTATCCTCTTGCTTCTCCCAGTGGACGCTAAGACAACTTTTAACTTCCAGCCGAGCAGCCACCCGAGGGTGGGCAAAGGGCACCTCCGCTCAGCGCCTGAGGGATGCTTGAACGAAGGCTGCCCTGGCCCTGGTGCAAGCTGGTTGCTCGCCAAGTAATACCGCTTACGTGGCCTTTATATGAAACACAGACTGCTTTCCTTTGGGTGGCAGACTCCTCTCTTTCATTGCTTGCTAGGTGCAGCAGCAGGGACGGGAGCGGTGCCGTCTGCCAACCACTCGCCGCGACGCTGCCAGGAAAACCCTGGATGCCCCACGCGTTCACACCTGCCTAGGTTACTTTTTCGCCTGGCCCCAAGGTTTGCAATGGGGCTCTGCAGGTATTTCTGTTCTGCTTCTGCACTCGCATTTCAAAGACCTTGCGTGGTCAACCAAAACCCCGCAGTGTCATCAGCCGGCTGGGCCGGACTCTCTTCCCTTGGCCCCAGCTTCCCCGTGGGCTGGGAGATGGACCACCTCAGAGGGCGAGGGGAAAGCCGTCCATCCGAGGCTGCACCCTTGCACAGTTGGACGGGACTCGGCATCCCCATCCCATGACAGACAGTCATGGAGTCTGCTGGTGGGGCTGTGCTCCGCCTGGTTGACCGCCGCAGCGCTCCTGCACTCGCTGTGCCGGCAGCTCCTGCCGGCACGGCACGTCTGCGGGGCCATTTTCACGACGGCCTTGGCTTTGTCAAGGCTTCCTTCTTGGTTTCCTCATTCTGGCTTTGTAAGTCAGAATTCTGCCCGAAGTTGGATTTTCTTGCCCTCAGCTAACGCATGAGCCCATCTCAGCCGAATGCCAGCAGCCTGCCACGGGGGCCCAGACCGGAGGTGGCAGGGGTTGCACCATGGCTGCAGACCTGGCCTTGGTGAGATGTGTGGTGCGGGGCTTGCTGCCCCACAACAGGCATGGGTGAGCCCCCAGGTGTGCCCTTCCCCGCAGAGCTGACACCGTCCACATTTGCCGCGGGGTCCTACGGTTGGGTCTGCACAGTATTTTCTTTCTTGGACTCCTGGTTCTTCCCATGCTGCCAACTACACGAAAGCTGTAGAAGACACTGTTTTCCATCCATTTCTGCAACCTCCCTTGCCCCTCTGCCCTCTCTTTTTGTTTTATTTCTGAATTAATGAGCGATCATTCACCTGAGATGAACCTCTGGGTCGTTACCTTTTCTTAGCTGCACCCGTACCCCTGTAATAGCATTACTACCTTTTAATTGTCGTGGAGCTATTTAACATATAAAGATGTTTTGGTCCTTTTCTTTACAAAGATGGCTACAATTCATGTTCCTTGATGTTCTATTAAAACTCTAATGTGACGTTTTACTACTGTAGATTGAAAGTAGGGTGCTTTAGGGTGAGATAGCCACGTGGCAAGAAACAGAAAACCCTTCCAGATGATTACTTAAAAAAAAAAAAAAAAAAGGTTTTCAACAACAGCAACAAAAAAAGAAAAAAATCATTGTAACACTATGTAAAACTCCAGATGATAATTTAACTGACTATTAAACGGAGCTGTTAGTAATCCGTGGCTCTGGCAAACTGTAGTGTTTGTTTATCGTTTTGGGCCAGTTGATGTCATCTTTTGGTAGCGGATGAAACACTTCCAGCCTTTGAGCTTGGGTGTGTCTTCACACAAGTTTAGCATTAGCCTGTCTGCCCACTGGGTTAGCCAAGTCCTGAACCACTCGGTATGCACAGCCGGAGCCGTGTCCTGCGCCTCACCTCGCCTACCTGCTCTGCCGCACACGAGGAGGTGCGGATGCATGCAGGCACCTTCACGTTTTGGGGCGAAGACTGCAATTACACAACCTTGCTTTGCAAACCTCTGCGGATGCTGGGAATTTGGGAGCAGAGTCCAAAAAAGCTCCTTTTAGTCTGTTTTTTTAGTATATAAGGTGGATGGGATGGTGCTATCTGGTGGTCAACCACCACCTGAGAACTTCCTGGTCCATGTGGCGGACTATTGACAAAGGACTGGCGGTACCACAAATATTAATGTCCTACAAACAGTGGGAAAGTGAGTGCCTGAGCAGAGGTGAGAGCTGCAAAGGATGCCTTAAAAGTCACTTAACAGTGCAGTGTTGTGTCTAGTGCTCAGGCCATCAGCACTTGTGGGGGCTGGCCCCTTGGCCAAGCCCAGCGTGTATTGCCGCCCGCCCTGCCAGATGGGTGGGAGACCTGGGGAGGGGTGGGAGACCTGGGGAGAGTTGGGGATTACTGCAGGCGGGCAGGCAGGATGCCTGGGAGGACACGGGAAAGGGGGGATTTAGGAGCTATAGCACACGAATCCATAGGAAACCAGACTTCATTAAGTCTCATGGAACAAATTGATCTTTTTTTTTTTCTCTTCCCACTACTAAATTGCAGGAAAATAAGCTAAAAATACACCCGATACTTTCCTTCTGCTATTTTCCATGCAGTTAAGTGCTGTGGCTGCCACCGGCTCATTGCACAACAACCCGTGGCTGTGGAACGAGACATGAGGAGGAGGAGAAGGAGGAGAGGGGCCACGTGGCAGCGGGGCACGTAGTCGCAAGCCTGTGCTGCTGTGTAAGAAAGTCTCAGTACGGCTGGCTCATCAAAACTTCGTCGGAGCAAAATCTCCTCAGGGGCCATCTGGCTTGCAAGCGATGTGGGTTTGGAGAAAGCCACCCCAAAGAGGGTGAAGTGGACGGTAAGGAATGCATCGCCAGCACAATTGCAGCTTTCTAGGAAGGGTTTGGTAATGTTGTGTGCATGTTGGAAGCGTTGCTCTTGGCCAACAGTCCCTATTCACCCTCAGAAAGCAGGTACCAGCAGGGATTGCTGCGTTTCATCACATGCATGAATGACGTGGCACTGCTGGAGCCCACACACAAGGCACCGTGTCCCCACGGTCCTGGTGGCTGCCCTGTTTCTTCATGACTGACTGCGTGGTCTCCTCCATCGTAACGGCTGACA